ACTAAGCCACTGCGACCCGAACGATCCAATAGCCAGCGCATGAATTCCAACTTCGGCCAATTCACTTACTATATAACTCGACTGCCGTTAATAATCCACTGTCATCGGTGGTGAGTATTTGTATTTTTACTCGTCTACGAGCCTACTAGTCTTGTAAATGGAAGGTCCTGAGTTGGAACCTTGTTGTTGGATATGTACTATCGAAGCTGAGCTAATTAAAGAGTTGGCTGCACAGTACTCCAAGTTGGTTTTCCAATGGTTCTCTAACTGATGTCATCTCATAATGAGACCCTACAACCAATCAAACACAATGCCTACAAAAAACCAAAACTTGAGAATTCTATCTTATCAAATTTCACACAAAATTATGATGTAACGCTTTATATTAGCCTAGTAAACCTATAATTATACACCCCTTTCTAACATTTATACATCTCATGAATTCTTCCAGATATGACATTAACTGTTCTGCCACTTGACATGCAACTTTGACTACAATCACAAACATTGTAATTGCATTTCATACTATTATTATTATTTGGTTACATGATTTCATCCTAGGCCGATATCGGTTACAGAACCATTGGAAAACCACTAGGAAGTACTGGTGGCCAGCCAAATGACTCGCCCTAGTTTGAAAGTGGCTCTTCGTCAGCATGCATCCATCCCAGTGTGAGGGTTTGAACCCAAGATGTTCCACATACAAGGCAAGCGAGCTCATAGACTGTTATGTACTGGTCAAGAATTTAATAGTCCTGACGCAAGAAAGGCGGAAATCAGGAGACCACTAGGTTTGCGATGATACTTCTATTTTTCAAACACAAGGAGAATCAATGTCACACAAGTGTGTGAGTGCAAATATATAAGAATGTCCGAACAAGTGTGTGAACACAAGTGTGTGAGCGAATATTCAAAATGAACAAATCAATAGACAGTCTTAACATGGTTGGCTAATTATAATGGAATATCGATCCATATATACATAGCAAAATATATCAGACTGTCAAACAAACACACATATTATATGGATATATATCATAGACCATTAAGTCACTGGGATCCTAACCCATAGCCGTCCCGTGAATTTCAACTTCTTCCAACTGGTGATATGACACGACCACTAACGAATGTCTCCAGTGACGAGTATTTGTCCTCACACTCAACCTGCTGTCATCCAAGTACTGGTCACGACTTCCCACTAGAACTCCAGGTAATTAGCTACTTGAATAGGGCCAATTGCTAGTGTGCATCTCACTGATATTCAGGTATATATATATATATCTTTTTAAACAGAAGTTTCCAGAAAATTAATCGACAAGTTTGTTGTTAAGGTGATAACAAAATACCAGTAACAGTTACATAGTTAAGTAATAGAAAACCAAAATTTAGTGCGCAAGAGGTCACATAAAAAGGTGATGATGTAATACGGTGGGTAGAATTCATAATATCAAGAAAAATTTCTTGTCTCATGGAAATCAAACAGAAAAAAACGAGGCAAGGAAGTTGGGGCGAGGGGAGGCTTTGGGGAGAGATAAGTTAATGAAGTTAGAAGACCAAGAGTTATTAAGCGGTGAGTCATCAGGGTAATTGGAGCCTAACGATAGATTCCTTTTGGACACATAGGTAAGGTTTCAGGCATTTTATTGCGATAGCCTCAGGACACCGGCAGAAGACTTTTTTATTACAGCTTGATTCCAGACTGTATTTTTGGTACAAGTATGGAATTTTCAACATGAATATCGGTAGCCCGAATTTTGCAGGCCGACCGTAGATATTAGGTGTGCGTCGGCAGGGGATCGAACCTCGGACCATGTGCATGGTCGGTGAGAGTCCTAACCACTGTGCCACCACCATTCCGGCAGAGTATTAGATAAACTAAATTGTTTTGTTTCAAAGGCCACACAGGATTGATCATTTACCCGACAAAGCTTGTTCCTAATTAAGCTTGCGGGTGTCTTGAACGCCAGCCGCTTTTATTCCTGCCTTGTTAAGAATTCTGCTTAAGGGTTCCGAGATTCCTTCCTTGTATGGAATTACTACTGATGATTTAGATTCCTTATTGTTGGTGTCGTCATTATTTTTTATTATAATTATTAGTGTTATCATTAGTATTACCACTATCACTATTATCATTATTTCATTTTTACATTTCCCTACATACTCTCTAACTAATTTATCAGGATAATTATTAGGTTTCAAAGCTTCTCTTCACTTCCTGTCTTAGATTTTCCTTGGTACTACTTCGTTTTTGTGTCCTATTAAATAAACATTTCACGAATCTTATTTTCACTACGCCTACAACGACGACAAATAGGAGAAGACAAAGAAAACTATAAAACTCAACTTTTCAAACTCGTGTGATTACAACTGATATGATTATGAATAATAAATAAATTTTGTTCGAAACATTGTCATCCAGTAAATATCAATACTGTTTCCCTCACTGTGTGTGATACACCTAATAAACAAACTTATAAGGAACTCCAGAGTGCCTACCGTTGAAGAGTTCTAAACTTTGGCTTATCAACTGTTAAGGGAGTGCCATCTTCTCTGTTGATGCGTCTCCAACTTATACTAAGTCAGTGAAGAGTGTTCATTATTTCTCAGCATTCAATCGATAATTCTATCTACATATATATATGTACAGCACATTCTAGACTAAGAAGATAGTAGGAGAAGTAATATTTAAGAAAATTAAAAACTATTAAATGTTAATAATGTTATTAAGTACTATTTTTTAAACAGAATAATAAAGAAAATTAAGGTCATGATCGGGGTTATTTCTAAAATGATTCGTCACAGAATACAAACAGAAAAAAAGAAAAGAGAAGAAAAGATTGGCCCATCATTCAATCGTTTCTTGCCAATTGATCTATCAATATTTTTTTACAGATGTATATACAGAATGAGGGTGTGTCATTCAACCTTACTTCAGAAACAAAAAAAAAGCAAAACAGAAAGTTTTTAATATTCTTTTTCGTTTATTTATTTGCATGTACTTTTCCAATTTGTTATTCAATTGTTAGAACACAATATTCAACGGAAATACTCTTTTCAACAATGAATTTATTATCAAGCTGTACAATCGCGTATATATATATATATGCATGGGTTGTTATTTAATAAAGCATATCTGATGAGGGAATTGAATCAAAGGTGTGAATACATGAAATAAAAATAATAATAATGATAATTAGAAGGTCCTAAGTTCGATCCCTGTTGGTGGGTGAGTACTGTTAAAGAGTCAGTCCCAAACTTGGTCGACGAAACAGCTGGCTCTACAGCACTCCATGGTGGTTTTCCAATGGTTCTCTAACCAATGTCTGTAACTAATTAGTCAATTCCCTACAAATCAATATCTGAATATAAGTAAGATGCTCACTAGCAATTGGCCCTATTCAAGTAGGTAATTACCTGGAGTTCTAGTGGGTAGTCGTGACCAGTAGGTTGGTTGTGAGGACAAATACTCGTCACCGGTGACATTCGCTAGTGGTCGTGCGATATCACCAGTTGGAAGAAGTTGGAATTCACGGGACGGCTATCGGATAGGATCCCAGTGGCTTAATGGTCTATAAGCTCACTCACCTCTTAAGTGGAAGGTTTGGGTTTCGTACCCTCGCATTGAGATGGGTGCGTACTGATGAAGGGCGAGACAGATAGCTGGCTACCAGTACTTCTTGGTGCTTTTTCAATGGTTCTCTAACCGATATCGGCTCAGGATGAAATCCTGTAACCACATAATAATGGTAGTATGAAATGCAATTACAATGTTTGTGATTGTAGTCAAAGTTGCATGTCAAGTGGCAGAACAGTTAATGTCATATCTGGAAGAATTCATGAGATGTATAGATGTTAGAAAGGGATGTATAATTATAGGGTTACTAGGCTGATATAAAGCGTTACAACATAACATGGCGTGAAATTTCCTAAGAGAGAATTCAACATTGTAAAAGAATTTTGGATTTATGATGACAAAAGCGTCAAGTAGAAACGGTTCCAAGCGAGCATAGTGACACTAATAATAATAATCATATTAATGAGGAAAAATAAATGTCTATCACTCTACCTCAGAGTAAAAAGCAGGCATTGTAAATGTTTATCTGTGGATTTTACGAGTTGATTACGGATTCATAATGCTTAGAGAACCATTGAAAACCAGGAGGTGCTCGGCAGCTGTTTCATCTTAGTTTGGGAATCATGGTGATCAATCCGTGACCAACTGGTAGAAAAAAACAAAAAACAAATGTAATCCTTACAAACCAACTCTTGAAAAAATGAATCCTATTCTCACTAGTGACTTGGTACAGGACGGAGTTTCTTCGAGTTCTAGTGAGACGTCATCGCCAGTGAGGTCCACCCAGTCATGTATATGAGGATAGATGTCCTACCGATGACACTGGTTGGTGCAAGTTGCGTTAAATCACAAATCGGTAGAATTCACGGACTGCCCATTGAGGGGTGGGTTCCCAGTGGCTGAATGGTCTATGAGTTCACTGGCCTTGTAACCGGAAGGTTTTGAGTTCGAACTGGCTGTGGTGGGTGGGTACTGCCGATGATTCCCCAACTAGGATGAGACAGCTGTCTAATATTTCCTCCATGACGAAATCCTCCAAACAATCAAAATCCCTACAAAAACCAATAATTGTAAATTAGCAGTTCTCCTTCCCCATGCCCTAAAACACCTGCAGAGATGATACACGGACAAAACACATTAATCGCATGAAATATTTCATCATCCCACATACACTGAACAATTAGAACAAAAAATAGGCTAGAAACCTCTGAACAGCTTCCAGTTATAATTTAACAATTTCTTGATAACCAATCAGAGTAAAGCATTTGTGGGTGTGTTTTATGACTTGTAGGCTTATCCAATAACATTTAAGAAATGACTACATTTCCTACTCTATTGGTTATGAATAGAAGTATCTTCTAACCTTGACAGCGACAATATGATTGGTCGATAGGCCATCTTCATTAAGAAGCAAATGGTTACGAAGAGAAAATATTGAGTGGGCGTTATGTCTACAATAAGTTGAACCATTTTGCAAAGGTGTGGCATTCATTGCTTGTTCTGTTTTTACGACGTGAGCTCAGTGATGGGTTTTATAGCAGTAAGTACCACTTGCAGTTTATTTCATTTAATGATTATTTTTTTCTATATTCTTTGATATTGTCTGGTATAAGTTGCCTACTAATTGTCTCATGCAGATGTTAGCAATGAGTGTACTAATGTTAAGATGTATTTTTGAAATTATAATGGACAGTGTTATAAGGAGTTGATTATTTAATTAGCGACAATGATATATATGAGTTTGGTGGAGTGTAGGGAGCAATTTTTGACACTTTTATGTCCAGTCCTCAATTAATAATAAGCTGCTGAGGATTTACAAATGTTACAAGTCAATGATTTGAACTAGTCACCACCAAACGCTTTTTGAAAGTCAAACAGATAAGTCTTATTACAGCCATGGCAATCAATTCCTTATTCGAAGAACCTTTAAAATAATTAATAACCCTGAAGCAATCAATCACATCATTTGCCATTAATGTCGGGCGTATTTACCATCTTCATAGTTGTCTCTCAACTTGGCTTGCTAGTTTTATATATACATATTAAGCAACCATACAGAAAGATTAGAAAATGTTTTAAGGTGATATCCAGAGCTGCTTTTTCTTGTATGTACTAGTAGGCTGGTACAATGTGGTTTGTAGTTCCCAGTTAAAAGTTTTCAAAATTTTTTATTTTGGCATTCAGTGTACTGGCTATCAGTGACATTGCAGAGTAGTGTGCTGTTTACCTCACATATATTTCAATAGGTGTATATGTGATCACTTAGAACCCTGCTCCATATTAGTTTGTTTATCAGACGTATCACACATTGAGTGAAACAGCATTAGTATTTGCTGGATGACACAGTTTCGAACAAAACTTATTTATTGTTCATAATCATTTCATCAATTATAATCACACGACTTCGATACTTGAGTTGCATAGTTTTCTTTGTTCTCTCCTATTTGCCGTCGTTGGGGTAGTAGAATTTTTCAGACGTGTTTGCAGTTGGTTTGATTAAAAAAGCTTGTGTTAGTTCAGCTATACCACTCACTACATGCAATTACACACAACCATACAATAGGCTGTATGGGATAAGATGACAGTTTTAAAATCGAATGCAACTAACAGGGCGGAGGGAGGGATTGATAACAGAAGCTTTGTTTATCGAATCAACTGAGAGTGAATACGTGTAGTAGGAATGATTCAACACCTGTTCACCCAGATATCTGGAAAATTCTAATACTACCCCAACGACGACAAATAGGAGAGCACAAAGGAAATTAAAAAACTCAAGTTTCAAAGTCATGTGATTATGAGTGATGTGATTATGAACAATAAAAACATCGAAACTGTGTCATCCAGTATACACTAATATTGTTTCACTCACTGTGTGTGATGCATCTAATAAACAAACTAATATGGAATTACTTACTACCACAGTGCACAAGTTTTACACATATATTAAGAACACTACTGTGATGGTATAGCGTGAACTTTCTGTTGAAGTGCAGATAAAAGTTTTTCAAGGTCACTCTTTGAGATTATGATTATATTACAATCTAATTCATTTTGAGTCGTAAGAAAAAGAAGGCGTAAACACCGAAGAAAATGTTTTTCCGCTCAACGATTCATTTTGCATAAGCTGCGGTACATTAATCGTAATTATATTTTACAAAGAAATCATAGAGACCGCAACCAATCAGATACTGATAAACTTTGTCCTTTGTCGGAAAATTTATTCCATATTGTAAGGTTAACTAGCGTAGTAAGGATGACTAATTGTAAAATTGTTAGAAAAGAGGCAGAAGTTCGCATGACCTAGTGAGTATGAGATAATGACTAATCGATAAGCTTGTGTAGAATAGTCAGGGACTAGTGGAAAGGCTATTAAAGTAGTTTTTATATAAAATCTGTATGAAAGCAGCAATGTTATTAATAAACAGTAATACAGTTGCAATAAAATATGGATGATGGAAATAATAATGATAATAAAAGTATTAGGAACAATAATAATAGTAATAATAATAATAGTGAACTTACATATTAAAAGAAGGAAGCAAAATTGTAGTAAGAACTTTACTCTGGCCACGGTAAGGCGAGTGAATGTATGTAGCGTCTTTAAATGCAGAAGTGTGGTTTCAAATCCCGAGTAGCTAATTCATTTTCAGAATGACTTACATTGTCTGAAACCAAACACGAGTGAAGTTTGAGGGTATATTGATCAGAAACAATCTTAAATGAAGTCTCTTCCAAAATAAAAGACAATTCAGCGAAGAGAATTTTCTTTATCGACGAAATCATCTTCAGAGACTGGCTGTACAGTCGCATTTTTTATTTTTCATTATTGAGTAATAAGGGTTGGGGTTGTCCGTGACATAATTGATATAATTACTCAACAAATGAATGGCTTTAGATTTAAAAGTGGAAGTTATTGTTCAGTAAATATATATTACAAAACTTCACCTCCTAGGAAGAAATACACTTGTGAATTGTAGAGGCATTTAAGGACTATTATGATATGGTTTATTATAGAGCATGAACAACAGAGGTGTCAGCACACTAACTTTTAGCATTTTAATTATTTAGTGTGTCGATGGCACAGTCGTAGAATGTTCACCGATCACGCGCAGGAGGTCTGGGGTTAGATCACTGGCCACAAACTCATTCCTCCTCCTTTAACCTCACTAAGCTAGTAATAAGACTAGTAAAGAGGAAAGGTTAGGTAGAGGGCATGAGGCTAGCAGCAACCTCATTCCGTAAAAATAAACAAACACCACTACTAGCGAGAATCTTCAAGCCTCTCTAGCTTGAAGCCCTTGTTATGTTCCACTGGGAACGTGAAGTTGTATACACAGAGAATGAAAAGATTTTAATTATTTATGCTAATATTATCGCTGTTTATGCGATATTTTTGCTTTACCTTGAGCAACAGTGATGCAATATGGATCACTACAGTAGACTAGGCTAGACTACAGTCTAGTTCACATATCCTATTCTATCTCTAGCCATCATATTTTGAATTAATCGTCTGATAATAGGATAATAAGAGAGAGAGGGTGGATAGGTTTAGTTAAAAGCAAAGATAATTAGGCATTAACATGAGTGGATATGGGAGTGTGTTTTTAGAATACAGGTAGTTGCTAGCTCTAAATAAAGAAAAATCGCACATACAACTACTTCAATGGGTTTTGGATTCATCTCACATGAAGTTTTAAATTTGATCATACGACCTAGACTCACTGATGGTGTTCCCACTAGGAGCTTTAAGTTCCATTGTTTAATTTTGTATCCTTAACTGATAGTACAGTGTGTCACACGACAGTATGTCGCCTAATACTTCTGTGCAATGTTGGCTAAGACTCACTTATGCTACTTCGAATGTGATGAGGATTATTATTATAGTTGTATTTGTGCATCGGTGGCACAGTGGTTAGGACTCTCGCTGACCATGCAAATAATCCGAGGTTCGATCCCCTGCCGACTCACACCTGACATCTATGGTCGGCCTGCAAAATTTGGGCTACCGATATCACATGCTGAAAATTCTACACTTGTACCCAAAAAAATACGGTGTGCAATCAAGCTGAAATAAAAAAAGACTGTTTTATGATTAAGAATACACCCTCATTACACTTTTTCTTTTCTTTTTTTTCAAATTAATTTTACAGAATAATGGTCTCACGGGCAGTCTCTTTTGGACTGTCCTTATCACATGTCTTGGATCATCATTTCTTATTGGTTATAACCTTGGAGTGCTAAATCTGCCGAGAAGAGTAAGTCAATTTGTAGTAACTAACATAAACATACTACAATTACTTATAATAATAATAACAATAATAATAGTTAAGCTTTATTTCAGACAATATGTGAATATAAATTACAGAAATTTCTAGAGTATTCAGTGCCTATCTTAGCTGACATAGGATGGATCAGGTTGGAAAAAAGAGCTAGCCCGTGATTGTCAAACCAAAACATGGCTTCATCAATCAATGAAGTAAATCCACAATAGTTAGTTTAAGCTAGCCAGCCAGCCAATCACGTAGGGAGGGAGGTGCAGACTTTCTGACTGGCTGACTGATTGGGGTCCTCGGGACGATAAAATAACCAATGGCGCCAGCTGGAGACAATTGATGATATATATGACTCAAAATCGTCGTTGTCAATGGCTGGGCTGGTTGGCGCAGATGCATCCACTTCTTGTGACTTATAATAGCCAATAAAACTATAGGGTTCTTTGATATATTACTATTGGTTTTTTGCTGCATATCTCGTTTTACTATCTCTATTTTGCATTGCCTTTTACTTCTCTTGCTTTGTGTACTACATGGAGGGAGTGTGGCGACTCGAACTACGGCACATCGATGCAAAGCAGCTCTATCTTGAAGCCAGTTAGTCACTCCTATTGATGCAGAATTCACATGTAAAGCAATAATCTGAAGTACTTGTCATAGTGTTGTGGTATATGTACATTTCTTTAGTTTCATCGAAAATTACATAGCGTTTAGTGGGAAACTAAATAAATATGCATGCTAGTTCATGTTTTGGTCATTTTTTGATATAATTCCACGATTAAAATAATAATAAGTGCGGAAGAATTTAGGCTTAGATATGATAGAGAAGATTTGTAGCTCAGGTGGATGATTTTGATGTGGTTTTGTTCTCTGAGCTGGATGGTTAGTTTGCGAAGCTTTCATCACCTTACTGGGTGATACAAGTAACCTAGAAGGTGTGAAAACACACACAAACAACCAATCACGTCCAAGGTCACCAGGAGAGATGATTAATAAACTCGTGGAGAAATCTAAAAGCTCACTTCAAATTGAAGTATGCGCTGAAGATGTCACCCAGTAAGGTGATGAAAGCTTCGCAAACTAACCATCCAGCTCAGAGAACAAAACCACATCAAAAAGAATTTAGGCTTAACTGTTAGTTACCTGGCAATGAGAAGTGGTGACTTTCTCTTTTTTGCCCCCCCCACCGCACCCCAGGGGACTGCGAAACAAGTAAGATTTAAATGTGAAAATTTGTCAGTGAAATAACATGCAACAGTAAGTATTCACTAAGACTCGTTGGTTAGATCATTCCCTCTTAAGCAGTCAGCTTTCTGCCAGTAGATCCCAAGGCTTGAATGTTGCTTCACCTGTTTCAATCTCCACAGCAGTACTGTTTTGGTTAACTTCATAGTTCAAAGTGATCCAAACCCCTTTTTTTCAAGTATTGGCTTTTGTAGGAATTTTGTTTGATTGGTTGGAGCAGCTGACATCATGAGTTGACATCAGTTAGAGAACCATTCAAAAAAACTGTCTGGGTGTACTGGACAGTTACTAACCTAGGGTTCTAGTGGAAGGCGGCGACCGGTAGGATACAGCAGCAGGTTGAAAGTGAGGACACTTACTCATTGAAGAAGAAGACATTGCCAATTGGTCGCTCTATAGCATGAATCGGCAGAAGTTTGAATTCATGGGCTAGCCACTGGATAGGATCCCAGTGGCTTAATGGTCTGCAACCTCGCTTATCTTGTAACTAGAAGGTTGAACTCTCATCGGTGGTTGCATATTGTCGAAGACTCCAAAATTAGGACGAAACGGATGTCCAGTATTCCCCATAGGTGGTTTTGTAGTGGTTCTCTAACCAACGTCAGCTCCATGATGAAATCCTCCAACGTAATACTTTTTTTTCATTCCTTCAAGTTCCCAGTAGAACATAGGGCTTCAAGCTAGAGGCCTGAAGTTTCTTTATCGGTGGCATTTAGTTTTACGGGATTGGGTTGCTAGCCTCAGACCTCTAACCTTCCCTCTTTACCAATCTACTTACCGGCTTAGCAAGGTGAGGTGGAGGAGTGTGTCGACTGGGGGTCGAACCCCGGACCACTTGCGTGGCTGGTGAGCATTCTACCGCTGTGCCATCGACGCACCAACGTAATATAATTATTTGTAATTGCGTCTACCATGTTTTCACATATTTTTTTCAATCACTTGTATTACACGGCGTTTGTTTACACAGGATCAGCTTAAGTTTCTAATGGTTTGTCGAATAATGTTAACAACATCTATTTTTGTTTAATTTTCTGTCCTATAGAATATTGAGGCATACTTCAATGAAACAGTTGTTCCAAACACACCAGAATTGGATTCCAACTTCTTCTATACGCATACCAGTACAATTTTTGTCGTTGCTGCTGCAATAGGCGCGTTCAGCTGTGGTTGGGTAGCTGATGGCTTTGGTCGGTGAGTGTCAGTCAATATGATCATTTCAGTTAATGTTTTTTTTTCGAATAATACACAAAGGATATCAATCAACATCGTTATTCCATGAGTGATATTAATAACTAAAATGATAATAATAATAATATCTTTATTCTGGACAGTGTTTAAAAAATGTACAGAATTTTCAGAGGATTAAAAGTCATCAGCTGACATCAGTTAGGAAACCACTGGAAAACCACCTGGGAGCACTAGACAGCCGTTTTGTCCTAGTTCGGGACTCTTCAGAGGTCCGTACCCACCGGGGTGCGAACCCAGGACCTCCGGGTTACGAGGCTGGCGACCTCGTTGACCATTGAGCCACTGGGACCCGATCCAATACTCCTTGAATCCTAACTTCTGCCAATTCACGACATAGCGCGACCGCTTCGCAATGTCTCCTTCGATGGGTTACTGCCTCATCTTCAACCTGCTGTACCCTACTGGTCACGGCTTCCCACTAGAACCACAGGTTAACTGCTTGAATAAGGTCAGTCACTAGTGAGCATCAGATTAATTTTCAAGTATTGGTTTTGTAGGTATTTTGTTTGATTGCATGGGGGATTTCACCACTAGCTGACATCAGTTAGAGAACCACTGGAAAACCTGGAAATCAAACAAAATCCCTACAAAACCAATACTTGAAGATTAAAAGTCAATCTGAAGGAAGAATATTCTTTTCAATAATTTCTCTACTTCAGGTTCTTACAATTATGAAATATAATATATTTTTGGTCGTTACAATAATAATGGCCACTTATATGGCGGATATATTTTTAACGTAGAATAACAGATTAGCAATTATGGGTGTGAAAATAAATAGTCGTATCTGTGTGACAAGTTCGTCGGTGGTGGCATAGCGGTTAAGAGGCTCACCGACCATGCACATGGTCCGGAGTTCGGTCCCCGGCCGACGCCACACTCATTTACTTCGCTAAGACAGAAATAATGCTGGTAAATGGGGAAAGGTTGGGCATGAGGCTAGCAACCCCATCCTGTAAAATAAACAACACTGCTACAGAAACTTCAAGCCACTAGCTTGAAGCCCTATGTCCCACTGGGGAACGTGAAGGAAAAAAATATGTGTGACATACGTGCTCGGCTGAATTCGATTACCAAAATATTGTAAAACGGGAGACAGTGTTGGTGATTAACCATAAAAGATTTGTAGAGTGTGGGGTAGGAAAATTGACAAGTAAGTCAGTTCAAGGTTATAAAAGGTGTCAGGTGAATGAGTGGCTAGTACAAAGGGGTCTGTTTTAAGCAGAAGACAGTAAGACTGCAATGGGAGGTTCATAATGAAATAACGAGTGTGTGAAATGAGGTAACAGGTGGAGGCATATATTGAGAAAAGAGATAATATCACTAATGATAAGTCCGGATAGTATAAATGAAAAATTTGATAGTATTGTATTATTATTATTATTCATAATTTATGCCCTTCATGCAAACATTCCCTCAATACCATCGAATTTTTCATTTATACTATCCGGACTTATCATTAGTGATATTATCTCTTTTCTCAATATATGCCTCCACCTGTTACCTCATTTCACACACTCTTTATTTCATTATGAACCTCTCAATGCAGTTTTACTGTCTCCTGCTTAAAACAGACCACTTTGTACTGGTCACTCACCTGACACCTTTTATAACCTTGAACTGACTTACTTGTCAATTTTCCTGCCCACACTCTACAAATCTATTATGGCTAATCACAGACATTATCTCCCGTTTTACAATATTCTGTAATCGATTTCAGCCTAGTGCGTTTGTCACGCAAATACGGCTATTTATTTTGGCACCCCACAACTAATTAATCTGTTATTCTACGTTAAAAATGTATTCACCGTATAACTGGCCATTATAATGTAACGACAACAAATATTATGTCTTATAATTGTAAGAACGTACTAACCAAACTATAGAAAATTAATCTGATGCTCGCTAGCGAGTGACTTGCTACAGGATGGAGTTTCCTGGAGTGTGTCTTCTAGTGAGAAGTCGATGGACCAGTGAGGTCCACAAGCTGGCCATTGAATCATATCGAGTCCCAGTGACTGAATGGTATATAAGCCAGCTTACCTTGTAACCGGAAGGTGTCCTGCGTTTGAACTGGCTGTGATGGATGCGTACTGCCGATGATTCCCGAACTAGGCTGATGAAACAGCTGGCTGTCCAGTACTCCCTGTGACTGGCTCCCATTGGTTCTCTAACTGATATCAATCCGTGATCACCTCGTTTCAACAGTTGAGTAAAATATCAGCCATTCAATTGCTTTATAAGTTTCATGAACTGTTGTATTGAATATAATTCGTTGATAAGGTCATTGTATCAAAAAAAGAATCGTGATTTGAAATATTTCAATGACCCCCAAACTGTGTGTGTGTGTATACTAACTAATAAAGTGATTGAAATTGCTACTTGTTTAAATTAATATGATCTATAAGATTAAACTGATAATTTTACGAGTAATTATCTATCTATCCATCCATCCATCCATCATTTGACACATGAATTAGTATCATATGACATTTGAGTGTTGGTTTAAGATGTGTGTGCGTGTGTGTGTGTGTACTATATGTAGAGAAGAAAAGTAGAAGAAAATTTATACAAAAATCTTCAATTCTAATCAAAGATTTATTCTTGTATATAAAACAAAGAGATATCACGTACAGTCGTTAATTCTATGTTAACTACTCAGCGTAGGCTTTTTATTTATGCAATAAGAATACACAGTGAGATTTTTATCTATATGACACGTAGTAGCGGCAGGGTTAATCTGTAGTTGGGTAGGGAGTTTGTATGATAGTTTTTTTTAACTGCTTACAAACAGGGTAGAAGTACTTTAGACGCTGCTGCTGTTGTGTTTCATCACAACATTGTATCCTCTTTAGACAAAAAGGAGGTGCCAAGTATGTGTCCGTTGTACGTTCCTTGATTATACATCTGCTTTCGACTCTGTACTTAGAGGCTTTTTCGTTAAACAAGCTTAGCCTTATACAAATTGAGTCCTGGGCTATCAACTGGCTTCACTCTTACTTCTCCAATAGGATGCAGTACACAGTATATAATGGTATAGCTTTCTCTCCTTTGCTTAATGAAGCTGGAGTTCCTTAGGGTGCTGTTCTCTCTCTCCGTTTGTCTTTTCCTTCTTCTTACATGACTTACCTCTTTCAGACGAAATCAACTTCGTCATATATGCAGATGACCTGACTGTTTCGCTTCTCGTTAAGTCTCAGTCAGCGGTATAAACTAAATGGCCTCATGCTGAATCCCTCAAAATGCCAGACTATTGACTTCTCCTTTAGGCATAAACGAGATCAACAAACACTAGTAAGCATTCATGAAGCCTGTAGCATTGAGGCGATTAAAACTGAAACTAAGTCTAATGCAAAATACCTCGGACTAGTTCTATCTTCCGACCTTACTTGGTCATCTCATATCCAAACAATTTCTAAGAAAGTGTTTCGTCTAACCTACTACATTAAGAAACTCAGACTAACTGGAATCACTCAACCTCTGCTTTCACAATTTGTCAACTCTCTTTTCTTACCTATTCTACTTTACTGCTCCCCATTAGTCTTTCTTGGGCTACTGAAAAATGACTATACCATCCTGAGAAGGATGTTGAAGGTAGTCAGCAGGACTAGTGGTGTAAAGCTCAATCAGCTCGTCACTACATTAGTAGAAAGGCATTTGAATACATGCGAAAAATGGTCTAAAACCATACTCTCTGACCCTCAAGACCCTCTCTATTCCCAACTCTTGCCTTGTGTCTCATCAGGTAGAACCAGAAATCAGTACAAAATAATATATGCTCGTACAACCCAGTGTAGGAACTCAACGATACCATATTTGGCCAGCCTGTGTTCTAAGTGACAAAGACAATGCTAAGCGCGAAACCTATGACTTGCTTTGTTGTTAATGCCATAATTTTGGCTCTTTTATTTCTCTCTTATTTGTACTCTATAGTGAACAACCTTCTTAAACATACTTAGCTACTTAAAACTATTATCATTGGCTTACTTTTTTATTCTTTATTCTATTCCTTCTTTTGTGTATCTACTGTTTCCGCCTATACTATCACTATGAGTATTACAAAATTGTCCTGTCATTAACCATCATGTAATATTAGTTTTGTGTTTTTTTGTTCGGCAATATTACAACTGACAATCTTGGTTGTGAACGCTGTTATCACCATCTTAAAATCTGTTTGTATCATACTTGATTACTCACACTACCACAACAAACACTGCATTAGTGCTGACAATAAAAAAACACACCCTGAAATGTTTATTTTATGATTGTTTAGTGTTGTTCAATCAAATTAACTGATCATCTTGGCTATAAACATTCTTAAGAACATCTCATAACTTCTTGTGTAATTATAGCTTTTACTGTTCACCACGCATAAACATATCATAGCTTCCACTACCCAATACTGAGATATTATTTATTATTGTTGTTAATTTTCCTTTCTACTTCTTGGTATTTTTTTTCGCAATTTTTTGTCATTTTTGCGTCTTTCTTTGTTTTTCTTGTTGTTGTCTTTATATTTATTTTTTGAAATACTCCTTTTAAATGTGCGATGAAATTAGATGCCATAATGTAGATATGTGCTGAAAATTCCACACTGTACCACTAGTACTGTTTCTGGAATAAAGCAAATTTCTATTATTATTATTGATGCGGAAGGGGGGTTGATGGGTATGTGGTTACAAGTGTGCTTAGAACTCATTTCTGCCAATTCTCTGAGTGGTAGTGAGTCTTGATACAAAGCCTTCAGTCATCAGTTATTTCGGGCTTTTAAAAATTCTAGAAGTTGGTATGTATATGCAACCTGTTTGGTGGTACTGTGGTGGACTGGATTATACAATACACTGTACGTGGAGGTGGGGGGTGAGAAGACTGGAATACGCTGGACTGATCGAGAACAAAACTCCTGAAGGTCTAGATTTCGCGCATGGATCATTTAGGTTGAATGTCACACAAACTTGATGACTTGCAGGCAGACAGGCAGGCAGGCAGGCGAAACCAACAAACTGGCTGAAGACAAGTGCAGGTGGCTAAGACAGGACTCCAGATGATCATAGAGAAGACGGAATTGATGAAGATAACCAACCGACAGCAGCAATAAGACCAACCAGCACCAATCACCATCAACGGGAGAGATTTGATAGAGTTTACTTTCTGCCTACACATATCTGACTATGAAGCACGGTTTCAACTACAGGCCAGAAGGTCGGATGAATATATCGAAACCAGCCAGAATTGGAAGGGTAGGGTAGGTACATCTTCGTCAATCTGAAACCAGTTTGGAATTTTTCTGCACTCCACCTCAGCATAAACAACGAGATTCGAATTTTGTTCAACACACACCAATTTCAAGTCAGTCATTCAGTCAGCTAGTCACTTCTTCTATAAGAGTCAGAAACTTGCACTGTACATCATGTAAAGGATTTCCAACAGGCCACCTTTGCTGGTGGCTTCATGCTGAAGATCAAAAGGCCTATCGGTCGGCGAGAAAGAGAGTTAGCAACAAGAAACTCTGATTCGGAGGGAACAAAAATAAACAGGCCAGAGCCGATTGCTCAACAAATGTGTAAGAGAAAATGAGGATAGATTGGGTATACTACTTGGAGCAGGTCGTTGCCCGAGTGGAATCTAAATTGGAAGCGACGAGTTGGTCGTGTGTCTGAGGGTGACATGGAGGAGATGAGAGATTCGGAGTAAACGTGGGCTCAACTCAACAAATGGAATATTGTGAAGATGTGTTATTGAAGCCCTGTGTAGTACCACTTGACACGCAAGGGAATTATAATTACACACAACCCGTTTGTGTGGCTTAAAGGTACGGCACAGTGGCTTCAGTACTTTGGTCATGCGTTTAACTTCCGCTCCGTCTACTTCGCCTTGGTCAACTGTGAACGGTATCACAAGTCCTCACACAATAAGTGTGCAGCTCTTGGCTTGTTTCATGGAAAATCTGTCCCAATAAAGGCTGAGATTGATAAGTGAAACTTTGTCTGTCGAATTATCATTAGAAATTCAGACATTCGAACTGATTCAGCATTTGTTTTCGGAAATCTTGAAAGTTCTAATACTTTTCATACATTTATTCACCTTTTGTGAATTTGAATAAAGCAAGAACAACAGTGGCGGTTTGTGCAGAATACAAGATGGTACCACCGTGGCTTATTTCGTTGGCTTCTCATCAGCTGCTTACAGGCTTATATATATATATATATATATATGTCGGCGGAACAGTGGTTAGGACTCTCGCCGACCATGCACATGAGCCTAGGTTCGATCCTTTGCCGACTCACACCTGATATCTATGGTCGGCCTGGAAAATTTGGGCTACCGATATCCATGCTGAAAATTCCATTCTTGTACCGAAAATACAGTGTGGAATCAAGCTGAAATAAAAAATAATATATATATATATATATATATATATAACATTAACCACTATTCCGAACAATAATGATCGTATACAGTGGAAACTTTCGACATTACGTAATCAGATGAAAAAGAGGGTGAAAATATCCAGTTACCAGAAACGCCAAAGAAAGACTGATAACTGCTTCTTTCTGACTGCATCAATCAGGTTTCAGGCGCGCTTGATGGAGATTGATCGCTTCAGCAAACTTGAGGAGAATTGAACTCTATTTGACTATTGATAATTTTGATTGAACGATCTTGCGACGTCCACCTCATGACCCGTGTCAAAAAAATGCCTGGCATTCATTCCCTTAAGACATAGGCTTTTTGGTATATGCTCAGAAAATCGTAGATATGTCCTTATTTTCTGTTCTTCGAGTGCCACCACTCTCACAGATACATGTAAATTTGTATATACAGTTGGAGTTGGTAACATGAGAAGGATATTTATCGATTTTTGATTGTATCAAAGATTATTGATTATTAAGTTATGGGACATTTTGAAGTGTCAAGCTAGAATACTACTTTGCGTTGAATGTAGTTTATTTGATGAATGTGTAATGCACTCAGAAGAGATGATGTCATCCTCAGTTTTTGCTGTCTCCTCTTTTTTCTTTCATGAATATCTAACATTTTACACTGTGTTTATATTTTTTTTTCTCTCTTTCACAGACGTAATGGTTTAATTCTCAATAACATAATTGGTATTATTGGTGGAGTTATTGTTGGTCCATGTGTTCTTGTCAAACAACCTGTTCTCCTATTCGTCGGTCGTTTTGTTATCGGTATCAATAGTGGGATAACAATCGGTATTGCCTCACTTTATCTAACTGAAGTTGCTCCACGTGATTTACGCGGTGGAATTGGAGCTTGTCATCAGTTGGCTGTAACCATTGGAATCGCCTTCTCTTATTTCATTACATTTTCATTTCTGCTTAACACTGAAAATCTATGGCCTCTTGCTGTTGCTTTAGGAGCACTTCCAGCTGCGACATCCTTGGTAACATTACCATTTTGTCCTGAAAGTCCAAGATTCTTATACATGAAACGTAATAATGAATCAGCAGCACGTAAAGCTTTCCTAAGATTGAATACTAAAGAAAATGTTGATACATTTATTGGTGAACTTCGTGAAGAATTAGAAGTTGCAAAAAATCAACCTGTTTTCAAGTTTACTCAACTTTTCACGCAAAGAGATCTACGCATGCCTGTACTTATTGCTTGCCTTATTCAAGTCTTGCAACAATTATCTGGAATTAATGCGGTTAGTCACATTTTATGTATCTATATATATACCCAATAATCCTATCACATGTTTGTCGGTAACTCTCATTTATTTATTTCTTTATCATCCCTCAGTGAAACACAGGCTCTCAAGCTAGAGCCTTTAGTTTTCAGAAGCAGTGGTGTTAATTTGCATGGGATGGGGTTGCTGCTGGCCTCATACCCATCCTTGATATTGGCTCAGTGAGGCTAAGGTGTGTGTCTACGGCCGGGAATCGAACCTTGGACCACACGTGTGGGGGGTTGGTGAGCATTCTACCTCTGTGGTTCCGATGCATATTAAATTTAGTCTTTTTAGTATGTATTCCTTTACAACACTTCGTCAGAACTACAGACCAGTTCTCCAGTGTAGGTGACACATAATCACTAAGCAGAGAACTGTCGTTCTCGACATTATTAATTTAAACTGTATTTGTAGGTTCATTAGTTGGTGATAGTATTTCCCGTCTAAATAGAAAGGCGATTCTATAAGTCTTCCTGTAGTTACATACTACTGGTCTCACTAGAGTTACTGAATGTGATCACAGCAGAGCTGTATTTAGCACCTATGAAGAATCCTTAAAATCGAACACGATCACTCCGGTAGTAGTAGATATATATTCATGGATAGGTGGGAAAAGATAGCGATTCAAACATTCACCCCCACCCCCAGAAGTATGGTGGAAGTATGTAGATGACACATTCACTGTACTTAAAACACAAGATATAAATAGATTTTTCGAACACATCAACTCAAAGGTAGAGGCAATTCGATTCACTTATGAATTGAAAATTCAGGAAGGAGAACTTCCAATGTTAGATTGCAGTGTAAAAAGGAATCCAGATGGGAAGTTAAACGCACTAGCGTTTACAAGAAACCCACAAATTCAAACAGATATTTGGACTTCTGATCAGCCCACCTATCCTATGTCAGTAAAAATAGGATTGGTAAAATGTTTAAATGACAGAGCACAAAAACTAAGGAAAATCTAAGACAGGAAGTGATACACATAAAAGAAGCCTTAAAGCTTAATAATTACCCGGATAGATTAGTCAGGAAATATGCAAGGAAATATAAAAATAAAATAAATAATGATAGTAGCGATAGTGATAATAATAATATTATTGACGACACCAACAATAGGGAATTTAAATCATCAGTAGTAATTCCATACAGGAAAGGAACCTCGGAAACCCTACACAGACTTCTTAACAAGGCAGGAATAAAAGTGGCTGGCATTACAACCACCCACAAACTCAATTAGAAACAAGCTTTTGTCGGTTAAAGGATGAATCCTGTGGAACCTTTAACACAAGACAATTTAGTTTATCTAATACCCTGCTTGCACTGATTGTCAGGTCAAATACATAAGTCAAACTAGTTGAACAGGGGCAGTCAAACTAGCCGAGCATAAAAGCCTATCAGCGAAATCTAGATTGCTTGACCCGAATAAGATAAGAAATCTAGAGAATAGTTCAGCTTTACCACTCATTACATGCAATTACATACAACCATAGAAATAGGCTGGATAGGATAAGATGACAGTTTTAAAATCTAATGTAACAGCAGGGTGGAGGGAGAGATTGATAACAGAAGCTGTGTTTATCGAATCAACTGAGAGTGAATACATGTAATAGGAATGATTCAACAGCTGTCCACCCAGATATCTGGAAAATTCTAATACTACGCCAACGAGTAATTTTCCTAACCTTAGGTAGTCCTATTGAGAAATACAAGAAACAATCGCCTGATTTACAACTTGATAATGTTCAGTTAAAAGAAATACGTATGTACCCCAGTTCTTGATGTAGTCAATGTTGAAGATGCTATCGGAGCTGATGATGAAACGTCCGCAGTTATAAAAAATAATGAAAGCTCAAAGAACTGAGTAACTGGATAGTATCGAGATCTAACACCGCTCTCTCCCTTGCTCTCTCTCTCTCGTTTCTGTTACCACTGTACGCTCATTAATTAACTGCCCTATCCTACAAGGGGATGTTTCTCTCTAGTCATAAAATATTAGATTGAGTAACTTTCAAATCCTTTTGTTTTGGTTTTATTTACACACTCTGTCTCCTATAATATATTTATGAATATTGATTTATTTCTTCTAATTGTTGTACACAGGTTATTGCTTATTCCTCGCTTATGTTGGAATTGGCTGGTATTAATGATGATTACTTACAATACTGTGTCTTCGCTATCGGTGTGTTAAACGTTATTGTGACGGTTATTTCTCTACCGCTGTTGGAACGTGCTGGACGTCGAACACTACTGTTATGGCCAACAGTATCACTGGCCTTATCGTTATTACTTCTTACAATCTTTGTCAATTTAGCAGTTTCAGGTCCTGAACAGTATAGAACTGCTATGGGAATTGTATCGTGTGTTTTGATCTTGGTATACATCTGTAGTTTTGCGCTTGGTTTGGGTCCAGTTCCTGCACTTATTGTATCAGAAATCTTCAGACAAGGTCCTAGAGCAGCTGCTTATTCGCTTAGCCAGTCTATTCAATGGTTGTCGAATTTGATTGTTCTGTGCAGTTATACCGTTATACAAGTTAGTCCGTTTTATATATTTATTTTTAATGACTTCAGTTTTTTTTGTGTGTGTGTGTGTGTGTGTGGGCGTTGTGGTGTTTCTTTTCCCACTAGGTATCACTTATATCCCGGACTAGTGGTGTCTCCTTTTGTATTCCTTTACCCTCCCCCCCCCAGTGGTGGAACAAAGGGCTTCAAGCTAGAAGCTTGAAGATTCGGTAACAGTGGTGTTTGTTTTACTTTTTACGGGATTGGATTGTTGCTGGCCTTATGTGCTCAACCTTCCCTCTTTACCAGTCTTATTACTGGCGCTTAGTGAGGTAACGGAGGAGTACATCTGTGGCCGGTGATTGAACCCCGAATCAGATTATGCGTGGTTAGCGAGCAATTTACCGCTGTCCCACTGACGCACCAGTTTGGTTCTACTGGTTAATTATATATGACAGAAAAAGCACAATACTCTATAACAATTTCGGCGGTTTAGTTATATATTTAGATGTAGTGGGAAGTAAAAGGCGTAGAATGTCGTTCTCACTGAAATAAAACCAAGTCAGAAGCCGTGACCATTAGGGTACAACAGGTTGAAGATGAGGCAGTAACTCATCGAAGTAGAAGAAATTACCTAGTGGTCACGCTATGTCGTGAATTGGCAGAAGTTAGAATTCAAGGACCATTGGATCGGGTCACAGTGGCTCAGTAGTCTACAAGGTCGCCTTGTAACCAGAAGGTTCTGATTTCGAGCCCCCATGGGTGCGTACTGAGGAAAAGCCCCACGCTAGGACGAAACAGCTGTCCAGTACTCCCAGCTGGCTTTCCAATGGTTCTCTAACTGATGTCAGCTCATGATGAAATCCTACATGCAAACCATCTGAATCAATGTTTGAATCCTTTCTTGACAAACAGATAAATCATTTTGGAAACATGTCCACAATGTATGAGTCACTTATGAGATAAGGACTGTGTTGCTTGTCTGCGATTTACAACTGTGTGACGAATCAGTTGTATGAAAAAAAAATGGTTAACATGCTACTTAAATAGCATAATAAAGGAATTGCCTACTCCACAAAGTATCCGGAACCGAAACTGGAAGCTACCAGCACTAAGCTTTTAATTATCCAGAATGATGATCCAACACGTTTGAAGTTTGTTGTATCTTGTAGCATCAACACAACGGTGGCACCACATAGTTTCATCATTCACGAAAACATCTACAATTGTAAAAATTGTAAATTGTGTAATAAGGTGTTACAGAATTGGTAGGCTTAGTATAAAATCCTAAAGGTTGACAAAAAAAAATTAAGGCTAACAATGAAGTGAAATAAACTGGGTGGAGAAATGCATAATAAAGACATGGTATCACAAAATAATAATAATAATGATAGTAATAGTACGCAAAGTTATCATCCTGGTGACCTTATAGTGAGCCAGAGTAGACAAAGAGAGTGAATAAGTTTTTTCTGTACACATCATAGGTCTAGGAAAAAGGCAGAAACAGCGAAGAAAATTTTCGCTTTTCGATGATTCATTTTCATGAGCTTTGCAGTCGTAATTATAATTAACGAAGAAATCTTTAGACCAAATCAGATACTGGTAAAATTTGGCCTTGGAAAATTTATTCTGTATTGTAAGGTGAAACGTATTAGGGATGATTAATTGTAAGTTAGAAAAGAGGCAGAAGACGGCATGACCTAATAAGTATGAGATAATGACTAATCGATAATAAACGCGTGTAGAATAGTCAGGGTGTAGTGGAAAGGCGATAGTGTTTTTATATAAAATCTGTATGTTATTAATAAACAGGTAATAGAGTGATAATAAAATGTGGATGATGAGAATAATAATGATACTAAAAGTATTAAGAACAATAATAATAATAATAATAATAATAATAGTGAACTTACATATTATAGGAAAGAAGCAGAATTGTAGTAAGTACTTTACTCTGGCCATGGTAGGGTGAAAGAATGTATGTATCGCTTTTGATTGCAGAGGTCCGGTTTCAGATCTCGAATAGCTAGTGCTTCAGCTATGTACAGATGACGTCACCGAAGTCCTTTTGCACGATATTGAGGGACTATGTGTACCACTGTGAAGCATTCATGTGGGGGGTACTCGATGTCAGAAGATGACAAGGTGTTCGAGGATAGAGCTGTTGCTTTTCTTCCTCTCTCCTCTGGCTAGTTAGCCAAGCTGGACAGTGCTCCAAAATACGTTTGTGGATTTGACGTTGCGTACGGCCGATATACTTTGCTCCTTGACGAGCAAGTATATAAATTGATAAATACACATTGAAGTGGCCAAAAGCGGTATCTTGTCCTTACTGTTAGACTGACTGCATTAACTGTCTGCAGGTAAAAATGTGATACATAGAGTGTCTGTTGGAAATGTCTTCTTCAGACTTTTTGGTCTGGTCTCTGTCTATTAATTTCTAAAACCTCAGTTATGGCCAGGAGGTGTAATCGTGTGCTTTTGGGGAGATTGTGACAAACACTCATATGGACATTAGAAAGAAGAGAACACTAAGTTCAGCAAAGATGGCGATCTTTTCAATGATTTCATTCTCAAAATCACCTATACAATACCATTTATATAGATTAGTTTACATGGATACAATTATTATTTATTTAACTTCACATAGTAACGAAGGTGATATGAAAGTTTGAAGGTACGAATATATAGATTACAAGGGGCTTAGAGACAAGATTGCATAGGATTAGAAAACAGTTACAATGTATGCTAAATTAATATTTGATAACTGGAAAATTAATTTCAAAGGCGGAATAAAAGGTGATAATTATTTTCAACTTGGTATGAATTTAGAAGAGGCTTAGAAACGCCAGGGATAGAACGAATTACAAGTGTGAACAAACAAAATGAGCATGGAAACAAATTGAAATCAAAATGTTTTCAACTTGAAATGTAAGTTAGGAGGTGTGAATATGGATTACAGGAGGATTAGAATACATTTGTAAAATGGTTATTCTAAACGGATTACAAGTGTGATCAGGAGGAGCATGGAAACCAACTTAAAAATAACTGATTTTATAACTGAAAGAATAGGATGAATTCGATGAAGACAAAGAGAGAAAATCACACACACACAGATAACAAAACAAAAAAAACTGAAGGATAACGGAACATACCGAACTAGGTGGTCCATGGTAGTTGTGGAGGCTGGACTATATTTGCTTTTGAACACATAGATTCTGCTTTTCGATGAATATGGCGATAGCTTTCGCAGTACAAAGAAGTCGGAAACACACTGACTACCTTTGTTAGATTTTTGTTTACTCTCCAAGTTGAAAATTTTGGTTTCAATTTGTTTCCATGCTCATTTTGTTTGTTCACACCTGTAATTCGTTCTATCCCTGCGTAACTTTTGTTTCTAAGCTTCTTGTAATTCATATCAAGTTGAAAATAATTATCACCTTCGTCACTATGTGGAATTAATTAAACAAAGAATAATAATTGTATCCATGTAAACTAATGTATATAAATGGTATTGTACAGGTGATTTTGAGAATGAAATCGCCGAAAAGATCATCATCTGTGTTGAACTTCGTGTTCTCTTCTTTGGGGAGATTGTTCGGGACTCGATACACAACTGTAAATGACTCATCTACTTTGATGCTGTATTCTCTATCCACAAAATGGAAGATATGCAAGTGAAAAACAACAAGTTGGCGATAGAACAAGCATTCAGAGAAGATAGGATTTCAGGTGAACATAGATAAAACGGAGGTGATGAAGATTCCTGGCCAACACCAACAGTAACAACAATCAACCAGTATAAATTGGAGGAACCTGAAAGAAACAACCTCCTTTACCTACCCAACTACCTACCTGGGAAGCATCGTTTCAACTACAGGCGGGTTGAACTGACGAGGATATCAAAGCAGAGAGGATCAGGAAAGCAAGACAAGTTTTCATTACTCTCAAGTCTCTGTAGAGGTCAACAGCACCACTGCTGTGTGAAGTCGGTGCTACTATACGGATCGGAGACTTGGCCAGCGCGTCATAAAGAGCACCTAAAACAAACTACAGACCTTCATTAACAGTTGTCTTCGCTCAATACCACTCAAGATCAGATAGCTGGCCAGAAAAGATCAGCAACAGGGATCTCTGGAAATGAGCGAACCAACCCAGCAGGAACTGATTGTGAAACAAATAGGCAGGAAGAAATTTTATTTATTTATTTTTTTGATTTACAGCTTGATTCCACACTGCATTTTCGGTACAAGTATGGAATTTTCAGCATGGATATTGGTAGCCCAAATTTCGCAGGCCGACCATAAATATCAGATGTGCGTCGGTGCGGGCTCGAACCCCGGACCATGTGCATGGTCGGCGAGAGTCCTAACCACTGTGCCACCGACGCACAGAGATGGATTGGCTGGCCATACGCTGAGGAAACAAACCATCAAGTGAGTGACACCACTAGACAAGCTATTGCTCGAGTGGAATCCGCCGAAAGGGAAGCGGCGAGTTGGTCGTCACTACGAGGGTGACTTGGAGGAGGTGATGTGAAGAGGAGATGAAAGCATGTGGGCAGACTTGGAGCGGAGTGAAAAAGTTGACAGAAAACCGAAGGCAATGGAGACGTGTGTGGCTAAAGCCCTATGTTTCTCTAGAAATTAAAGGATATAATAATATTAATAATAATAATAATCATAATTTCATATATTTCTTAATCGTTCATTCATTATTACAATTACTAAAATCAATGTATAATCCTTCTGTTTTTATGCCTTTCTAGAGAAAAATTGGCGGCTATTCATTTCTCCCATTTCTTGTCATCGTTGTCATCTGTTGGATATTCTTCTTTCTGTTTATGCCTGAAACTAAAAATCGTACATTTGATGAAGTCGCTCGTGATCTTGCCTTTGGTAATATTGTCGCCTTCAAACGTACTACAGCCCTGGAGGATCGTAATTTGACCATCTTTACTAAACAAGGCAATACTGCCTCGAATGCGGATGGACCAGCTTCTGAATCTCTTCTCTATTCAAGAAATACCAATAATAATGATAAGGGTACATATGCGTAAAATAAACATCATTGCTTTTGTCTATCACTCTCTCTTTCTCTCTTCTGATTGATTATATAGGGAACTACTATACGAATCTCTCTCCCCTTAAGCAGATATATACATATATATATATCCTTATGTGTTTGTGTATAATTTTATGCTAGTATGTATGTATGTATGCATGTTTGACAGCTGCTTGGAATCCTTCTTTTTGGATGTATTGCTTGTGCGCTCACATATGTATATGTGCACAGTATGTGTGCTTCTCTGTATGTGTGTGTGTGCTTTTCATCGCTCGCTCATTATTGGTACTCGCGTGAAATTTCGTCAGGAGGTTTCTTTCACCTTTTCGTTTTGGGTATTTATTGTATAATCAATCACACATACGTATATAAACACACTTATTTTGTTTTTATCAAACTTAACACTGTGTTGTTATGATCACTTATTTTCGCTTATTTGTTGTATTTCGCTTCAATAAATTGTTTGTTGTTTATTTTTCGCCAATTCATGCCTACATATATGATATTATTAATAGTGGTACTCATTTTTCCATTGTAATTCTATACAACAGGAGTTTCAAGATCAAAGGATGTTGTTTCACCTAACCCTGAATAAAAAGAAGGGGTATTAGGGGTATATAAACAACATTGTTACTTGAGAAAAATAGGATAGAAGAGAATAAATATCATCGTCAAGTCAATTTTGGATGAGATGACGATGGGAAATTGATCTCCCCCTTATATAATAAATCGTCCATCAACGCCCTTCCCGCCCGCCAACTCTCCTTCCTACCCTCCTCTTCTCACATTCTCTTCATGTCTGTGCAATCTTTCTTTACCAATTTTACATTGTTTTTTTTATTAAATTTTATCCTATCCGGTTTAGTTTTTAAAACAAATTCATTAGAGACTATTTCGTCTGTTTCATTCTTACTTTTAGTTTGTTTTATCTTGTCTTGTTTAATTGATTTCATTGTTGAAACCCCCTGTGATGACGTTTCAACTTGCGTAAAAAGCATGTTTTTTAAGTCCCACCCCCTTCCCCCCATGACCCAATGCAAACAATTAGAACAGTTAAGCAGTTGTTAATTGATTTATTTCTTTTTGTCTGTCTCTATTCTAATCTGTCGCTATATATGTGTGTGCAACAAATGTTCTTGATTTTTTTTGTTTTGTTTTTTATTTACCCACACCCCGAATTCACCACCCAACCACCCCCAATTTCACACAAACACATACATACTAATGCTTATGTCATTAATGCCAGATTCGTAAAGTATAAAATCTTTTTTTCATCATATATAGTATTGTGTATTCTTGTTAAATTCATGTTGTCTCAGTCTTTACGGTTATGATAACAACTGGGATCTCTAGGAGGTGAAGATTAGGCGATCTACGAGAAACATATATACATATATAAACGTTCGCAAACCAAATTCACTCTTAGCAGTTTGAAAAAAGATTTGGGCATTGGGTATTTGTGTAATATTCATTATAGTTTTTAAGAAGTTATATCCGGTGGGGGAATTGAATCATAGGTGTGAATGCATAAAATAATAATAATAATAATGGTGAATGAATGAATGAATGATAATAGCTTTATTTCAAAACAGTACTTGTGATACAGAATGGAATTCTCAGCATTTTACTACAGTATTCCATCCAGTTTGTACATTAGCAATAAATAAAATTCTACATTGATTAAGGTAATCTCAGTTAGTATTTGACAACAACATATTAGCGCATATCGGTAGCAAGGCCAACATTGAACAGAGTGTTTGCAGTTGTTAGAAAAGTAGTTTCTAGCATATTTACAGAAGAAAGAAATAAAGCTGCACATAACAGAAAAAAGAGAGAAAAGGAAAGGAAAAACGTTGTACGTATAAATGATATGAGTTGGAGAGACGAGATCCAGTTGTTCTACTGACTATTTAATAATTTATAGGTATCACGCATAATGCTTTCTTTATCGCATAGAACACGAGCTAAGTAGGGTATGGTTGAGTTTTTGTAATTACTAGTGCGAGCATATAGTTTGCTATATAGGCTTCTGGTTTTGCCTGATGAGGTACAACAAGGGGAAAGATGTGGATGAAGAGGGTGTTGTGAGTCAGATAAAATAGATTTAGCCCATTTTTCATATGAGTCCATGTGCCTGTCCACCAGAATATTAACAAGCTGGCACGTCGCTTACTCTGCTGACAACCTTTAACATCCTGCGTAATAAGGTATAGTCTTTCTTCAGTAGCCCAGGAAAAACTAAGGGGGAACAATACAGAATAATAGGCAGAATACGGGAGTTAACGAATTGTAGGAGTAAGGGTTGGGTTATACTAGAGTGCCTTAACTTCTTGATGTATAAGGTAAGACGAAATATTTTCTTAGAAATCATCAAGATATGAGACGACCAGGAAAGATCAACAGATAGAATGACGCCTAGGCATTTAATTTCTGACTTGGTTTCAATTTCAGTGCCATCAATGTTGCACACCTTGTGAGTGCTAACCATTTAGTTTAGGTCAGGTTTGTGCCTAAGGTGAAATTAACTGTTTGGCATTTGGAGGGGTTTAAGGTTAGACCGTTTTCCTTGGACCATTGGCTAATTTCTGATAAGAAGCCATTTAGTTTAGAGCAGTCATTTTGACATTTGACAGGTAAAGATACAGTTAGGCCATCAGCATATTTGACAAAATTAATGTCATTTGAAGATGGTAGGTCATAAAATAAATATGAATAATATGAAATGCAATTAAAGCTGAAATGTTTGTGATTATAATCATAGTTAAATGTCAAATAGCAAAACAAACTTCGAAATGGGTGTGCAGTTATAGGATTAGTAGACAAATCGAATGAAACAAAAACGTTACGTAATATTGTGTGAAATTTGATAGCATACAATTGAACGTTGTAAGGAAAAGAAGAAGTGATTTAGAATGACAAGTGGAAGGAGTGAAATAATACCGAGGAGAGTTCAAAGTGAGAATATTAATAATAGTAACAATTGACATAATAAGGAAGAGTATACAAATTGAATAGACAAAATGAAAAATTGGTAGAGCTAAAATATGATTGGGGATTCCCACACTTTAGTATAGAGGGATTAAGACCATGAAAGTTGGGTTGGTTGAACGAGCTTTTTCTGTACACAGAGATCTGGCTTTTCTGTTTCGATAGCCAAAGAAGCCTTCAGCAATACAGATGAGTCGGGTACGTAGGGATTTGTGTAAATTACTCTTAGCCTTGTAGATGACTTGAAAGGCCGAGGCTGTAAAGCGATAGGGTGATCATTATCGACTGGATTTTCAAGAGTTGTGCTCCACCTCACCTATTCGTAAGCATGCAGGATAAATTTCTTGAACCCAAAACTAGAGTCGAACGACCGATATACTCAGCTGCAAACGATCGGGTGGGATCATGTCCTTCAGGTGATTGAACAGTAATCATCGCCTGGTAAAGCCTATTCTCAGAGATACAGCAGAGAATGTTCTTTTCAGGGACTGTGATATCCTTCTTTTAATGATATAGGAAGCTAAGTCACCATAGAATTCCAAGCTCATAGAGAGTATTTTCTTTGGTACGGATGATAAGTCACCTTTCATAGGATTTGAGTGTATATTCTTCTCTATAAAACGTGTCGGAAATCCATTTTCTATAAACATTTTCTTCAAAAGATTTAACTCATCCTCCAAAGTATCAGGACTAAATATGCGCTGAATGCAAGTGGCTAGCGTCCATACCAGGTTTCGTTTTCGACTAATGGGTACCCAGCTGTAGACATTTGTCAGTTGATCACTCCATGGAAGCTTTCGATAAATCGGTCTCTTCAGAGTTCCATCACTATTACAAATAATAAAGGCGTCATCTACATACCTTTTATGCATTTGAAAGCTTTGGATCGTTAACTTCAACTGACCATTTGTTAAACATAATAAATATTCCCATAGTAAAATTTAGAACAACACACATTTAAGCGAACAATATTGTGCTTTCAATTAGATCTCATCATCAGGCTCAACTCTAATATACCTATATAAGTTTACTAATAAAAATTCAAATATAAACCAATCATGGTGTTTTGTCTATAGGATAATAAGATGGTGAATATAAATTGTGCAATCAGTCATAATAGTAATAATAATAATAATGGTCTTATCAATAATAAGGATGAAAAAGTGAGGCAATCTGTGATAAGACGAATAATGAAAGAAAAACAGTATGATTAAACAAGCAAATGTTCAAGTGGACACAGTAGTCGATAAAGGCTAGTAAAAACAAATGAACCGATTAAGTGATGCTAGACTGATTGTTAGGGAAGTAAATGAAACACATTTTTAATGAAGATGTGATAAGATTAAGAGATGATAAGAGACTGACTGAAAATACAAGTAAGGGGTGGTATATAAGTCATTAGTTTATTATGCCTTAATAGGGCAACAAGGCAGGGATAATGGCTGTGTACGAACTTCTTTTGAATGCATAGTTTAGGTTTAATAGTCGTTCGAATGCTTATCGCCTCAGCTGTGTGTGTTCAGTAGACCAATACGAAGTCTATTAGAGAGATTCGGCGGGATACGATGAATTACTTTTTGAAAGCTCTTGTTTTCTCGACTACATAACCACTATCAATTAAATGTGATAAAAATGAGCTACGGATTGTTTTTGTCTGTCCTTTGCCAAGCCACCACGATGGAAGGTGTTCACTAACACGTTGGCTAAGCTGTCTAGCAGCAGTGTGCCCAACATAACTGTCACCGCAGGTGCAGTTGAATTGATAAATGCACATAGATGTGTCAAAACTATCAAGCTTATCCTTCGTTTGAGTCCCAATCATTTGTCGGCTAGAGAAGGACAAACATAGATATGCTGCGTAAAACGTTCTACGTATACTCCTGGAAAGTCTCTGAAATAAAATCTCGCTTGGTAAGTCAACATTAAATTGTAACTAAATGAATAGAGGTTTTTTACGTGTAGTCAGAGTCTCAGGTTTTCTCTCTGATGTTTTCATATGTTTCTTTACGAAACTACTCGGATAGCCCATCTCCATCAAAGAGTCGTGAATATATTCAAATTCTTTTTGTAAGAGGTCACCCGTACATATCTTTCTTGTTCTGCTCGCAAGACATTTAACAACATTCCTTTTATATTTAATGGACACGTAACTAAGCTAGGAAGTGTGTGTATTGCTCTGTGAATGATTAATTGCACAATTTATATTCACCATCTTATTATCCTATAGACAAAACCTCATGATTGGTTTATATTTGAATTTTTATTTGTAAACTTATATAGGTGTATTAGAGTTGAGCCTGATGAGATCTAATTGAAAGTACAATGTTTGTTCGCTTAAATGTGTTGTTATATATAAGCTGAGTGGATTTAGTAAATTCTGCTTTTATAATACTTCAGTAAAGATATTAACATTAAATAGCGAGCGGAACATCACTAAAAACAGTACTAGCGTTTTGTTTTCCATTCACACTGGAAAATACAAAAAACCTTCATAATATTGCAAAATTTATTCTCTGGATTAAAATACTGATATGATACCTCGATGACTAAAGCGGTAATGAGTCGTGGTAGTAGCATTAAAGTTATATTTTATCAGTTGGCCCTATTCAGGTAGGTAGTCACCTGGGTTCCAGTGGGAAGTCGTGACCAGCAGGGTGCAGCAGGTTGGGTGTGAGGACAAATACTCGCCGAAGACATTGGCTAGTGGTTGCACTATATCGTGAATCGGCAAAAGTTGAAATTCATGATCTGGTCATCGGAACGGGTTCCATTGCCTTATTGGTATACGAGCTCACCTTGTAATCAGAATGTCATGGTTTCGAATTCGTGGTGTTGGTGCGTGCTGATGAAGAGTCCCAAACTAGGACGAAACAGCTGTTGATTACTCCCAACTGGTCTTCCAATGGTTCTTTAACTGATGTCAGCTCATGATGAAATCCTGTAACCAATTTATCAACTAAGTTATACTGATCAGGGATTAACTAGTTCTGATCTCAAAAGAGGTGTATAAATTCGCATCATAACACCAACAAGGAACCATCATCAAAATCCATCAAAATTCAGTATAAAAATATCTCTGAAATAACAGCGAGAATATTAAAACCGTTTGAAATAGATATAGCACACAAGCCAGCCAGTCAGCAAAATCACTTCATTTGATAGTGTGCAGACCAAAACATGCACCAGATATAAAATAAATTCCATGTATGAATTGTAATAAACATTACATCGTTGGTCAAAATGGACATCTCCTTCGAATCTGAGTTCATCGGGTTGGTGTAAGTCACTGATTATCCCCATATACAAGAAGGGAGACAAGTCTTCCTGTGATAATCACAGAGGGATTAGCTTGACTAATATACTATCTAAAGTCCTAGGCTCA